TTTATCCTGTCCAGCGGTGGTTTTATTCAAATGGTTTCAGATTTTGTTGTCCACTGATGGACTGCCGTGTAACTGCGGTACATTTTCTTTTTATTATCTACCATTTTTTGTAGTGTTACAAACTGAATTTTGAGAATACCATGTCAGGCATAGGTACTTGAAACAGCCTTGGTCTTACGTGATTTGTTAGACTTGCACATATTTCTGAATAAACACCAAAAAATCTTACAAAAATTGATGCTGATTAGATTCAGATGGATAATTTTTCAAACTTGTTGTTCAACCAAAGTTTTGGCCTCTAGAGGGGCAGTGTTCTCTCGCCTGTTGAGACCTGAGCAACTGCAGAAGAACTGAAACTTTGTTGGGATCGATAATATGAACATTCTGGGTTTGGCTATCGCTTAAAGTTTACTGTGTCACAAAGAAGCTGATGTTCAGGTATTGGTGAAAACTTGAAGGGCATATTGGACATATTGCCAGAAACACGCTCTGTTCACCACAGCATCTTCTTTAATAATTGATAACAATTAAATTAATAATTCAATCATAAATAGGAGAGGACAATCTCTTTTTGTTTCTTCCATTACTACCATCAGGTCAACATTTGTTCAGTAGTATCACATGCCTTCAAATCATTATCATAAGCATCAGCTGTCCTTTTTTTGTCCTTTGTCCTTTTTTAGTAAGTGTTTATCAGAAAATATAAGCATGCCAACACACTGAACTGATATCTGGCTGGTATGTGAATAACTGGTCAGGATTTATTATGCTAAAAAATATGCTACATATCAATATATCATTATTGTAACAACTATCATACTAGGACCATTGTAAATAGCATTAGGGTTTAAACTTTAGAGTAATTGTACCTACATAAAGCCTCAGTGAGAGAGTCAGCATGATTTCAGGAATGGAAAACATTCTAGTGCTATGACAAATATCTTATTTTCTGTTGTCCCAGCATTCAAGCATCTATTTGATTCCTTTTGCTGTAATGTCGCTAAATGTTTTTGTGTGTTTCTTTTGAGCAAGCTGTAGGGGTTTGTACATTGTAGAAGTTATAATTGTAAAATGGAAGTATTCTGAAACCTCTTGAACAAAACCCGATGGACAAAACTGGAAAAAACAATGGAATGGCCAACATGAAATTGCAGACTACGAGAATGCAGGTCACCTGAAAATAATTCTTGAAACAGAAAACAGTTAAATCAAACCTGCATTCTTTATTGAAGTGGCAGGAGACATTATCTCAGTTGAAGAAAGGGAGTCAGCTCTTCGTTCAGCCTGCAATAAAATGACACCTGTAAAATACCCTGAAGTCTCACAAAATGAGGAAGCAGTTCATCCTCTTGCTGCTTTAAATACACACACACAAGTTTACACATGACAAATAGTAAATCTCTGCCGGCAGAATAAACTGAGCAGAAACAATCTGGATGTGTGTGATGACAAAGGTCTTTATGATAGATGACTGTATAGATGCAATTCAGACTGTTTACCCATGGTTATGGGTTTCTGAACAACAGCCCTGCTCATGCAACGTAACCCACCTGGGCAGTTCTTTTGATCTGTGGATGACTCTTTTTACAATCCTCTGATTGTTTAGGTGAAACCGATCTCATAATTGTTTGGTGGGGTTATATCACAAGTTATAAAGTTTCAAAGCTTTCCCTAAAATGTTTGAAAAAGATTGATGAAGAATTATTGCCGCAAAGAGATGCCTCCGTAAAATATTTTAGCACAGCAAATGTTCAAAATTGTGGGATTATTTTGAACTACACAATTCCTGACAAGGATTTTATACTGTGGTAGCAAACAGTTAATTAATCAGAAAGTTGGTTTGCTGTGTTTTATAAGAGAACACAATTAAAATGTGTTTGTTCCTTGGTCAGTCCCCTTGAGAGAGGTGCTAAGCGGCATGGCTTGTTTTTTCTCTTCTCCCTTGGATCCCAGGATGACCTCCTATGGATACACCCTGGAAACTGAGTGACAACAGTGGCCGTTTTGGCTTCCATGTAAAAAATTAATGCAAGATGTGAAGTGTAATTAGAAAAAAAGTTTACCTTTCTTACACTGGCAAGCAGTTTGTAGAGTTCTTCTCATGTTTAAAATGACTTCTGTATGGCTTTATATATATATTGAAACGTTCAGTTTTTCATCTCTTTAATGATGTTTGGACAGATTTATTTATAAGATTTAATATCTGGACAAACATAATTGACCCCCCTCCCAAAAAACAAAAAAAAAAACTAACCAGTATTGTAGAACTGTGAAAAACAACTTTACAAACTAGGAAAGCACAATAAGAGCCAAATATATAATTCAAAATTAATTTTCTGAAGGATTCTCATATCGAAAGTTATTTAAGTAATTTGCAATTTGTTGGGCATTGATCTCACAAAATGATTAAGCCATTAACAGCAGGGAGAAAAGGAAATAACAGGTACACAACATCAATCTGCTGAATCATTCGCACGTTACGGTGGAACCGCTGTTATTGACCCGCATCACACTATTTCCATGCAAACAAATGTCATAGCTGCATTTAGCTAAACTGTAATAATATCAGCTAAATTCACCACCTGAAATCAACAATGTTGACTCACCTGTGGCGCAAAGGGGCCGCTTTTTTTGCCAGCTGTGGATGGAGCGAATGAGCTTTCCCTCTCTCTGGAGTTCCCTTTCTGTGTTGCTCTCTGTCACCTCCCCCTTAAACCTTCTGCTGACTGCAATGTAACATAACAAGTGGAAACTCTCATCTGCACCGCAGAGAGAGGAGGGCCTGCTGTTGCTGGGCGGGTCAATAGAGGATCTGGTATTGATTCCAGGTAAAAATCTATTTGGCCATTTTGACAATACACAAGTTGAACTGCAGCAGTACATATAAAATCAATTGTGAGAGGAAGATATTTGTGAGTGGAACAATTAAAGAAATATATTCTTCAACAAACCAAATATTTTCAGTAAAAAACATTCTGTGAATCCCGTTTTAGCAAGTTTGCGTTAAAAGCAGATATTACATTACAGTACTTTCAGTGTTGGGTTGCTTTGATGAGCAGTGAATAAAATTGGCAGCTAGCAATTAAAGATTTGCTCAAATAACTCAGTGGATTAAGCAAATCTATAAGAGTACAGGTGGGATTTCAGAGCCCTGTGGTGTGATTGTATAGAGAGCCTCCTGGTTTCTGTAGAACACAAAGTGAAATTAGACCCCTACTCTCTCTGAGCCATAAATCCCCTGCACACTACAAATACCCCTTTGTGGCCTAAAGGACGTAGAATTCTTGGGTTCGACTCAAAAGGGACTCAGGCAGTTCAGGTGACAGAGATCCTCCCCTCTTCTACTGCTGCTTCAGGAAACATGTCAGTGGTTTTTCCATAAATATGTACAGATGATTGGAGATTTACCCAGAACTACCCGGTGTTTTGCTCGGTGTTGAAATGTGAGAGGCTATACCTAGGTCATCATGACAGGTCCTGACAGTTGCTTTGGGTAGGGCAATAAAGATATATTAACACATTATCATTGATATTCCGTTACCATTTCGAGCCACTCTCTCACCCAAAGTGATACATTCATTGGTTGTGATAATCTTCCTTTTGTCCATACCAAGTGTCATGTGATATGGAAGTGATATCCCTGCAACTACAGGACAGTTTGAAGTAAATTAACAAAACTGATGGTGTAACAAACCCTGATAACTTCCAGTAGAAGGTAAAATACATTTCTTTCTTTCTCAACATTAACATATTTTTCACACCTTCAATTTGACCTCTGGCATTACCTGTTTTCCATCATACCGTGGTGGTGCTTTAAAGTTTGCCACAACAAGAAATGAAAAAAGCTTAATAAAAATCATGTTCCCATCAACGCTTTCATTTTATTTAATTAAGAATGTTAAAGTTTCCTACTCAAAATGACACTGCAAATAACACTGTTATGGATCCAGGATGAAAAACACTCAAACAAGGGTCTGTGACCAAAATGCTTTGTAGCTTTTCAAATCTGGGATGGATGTATTTTTCTAAAGTTGTTTGCAAGCACACAGTATAATGTGTTTTTGTGTACATGGGCATGTGCAACAGCTTTATTGTGTGATGTGTACTTCTCCGTGTCTCTTCATTAAGACCTTAATGGCATAGGGATCAAAATTATATGCACAAAACACACAAAACACTCAACCATGCGGATGGGGCTGTTTGGATCACATTACACTTAAATGAGTGCATTACCTTGAAACCTGAGACACTTGTATTGTCAAATCCATTGAACAATAAGAAAATAAAAGGTTTCCCCTTTTTATTTGCAGAGATTGAACTCTATGCTGCACTGGTTTAGGCTGAACAAACAATGACTTAAAGATTCAATTTCTTATGGCACCTAACTGGGAAACCCATTAAATATACAAACAGTAGTATACACACGTTTATGTAGTTAGGATTAATAATACAGAAGTGTAATTAATCATCTGTGGGAAGTCTTTTTAAATCAGATTTTATGATTGATAGTCTCAGTAGCTGTAGGTCCTCTATGCCATACATGAAATACTGTTTGTGGAAGAAATAAAGTCTTTTAGACAGTTTGATTATTCTTTTTTTTAACTTATAGTAATGCCAAAGTTCTCCTGTAATGTAATATTTAACAAGAAAAATTATTTTTATATCACAGATAAATCAGCAAAAAGAAATGGTCACAATCGGTCAGCTGCTCTTTTTTGCAGAATGCAGAATATCTATAAAAACAGCTTTGGAAGAGGTTTTGTTCCACTCTATATGTTGTTCACACTATTATCAGCTCATTTCATGAAGTAAAAGTGTTCAAATTTGAAACCATCCCCCTCAAAAAATGTTTCTCGTCCATTCAATTGAATGCCAATGAAATACATTGAAATATGACACAAATCAATCAAAATCAGTCTATTCATTGTATCTTTTTCATGTAGATCCAAGCTATTTAAAAAGAAAACACAATAAAATGAAAATACTAGAAATGTAATTCAATTTGGCGTATACTATTTCAGTGAAAAAAATTCCCCAAAACATGGTTTTTATACTTCTCCGAATGCATAAACATCCCTGTTCTAAACCTCCATTTCTGATGAGGGCATAGACAGTTTTACTGTCTCGAGGCCTTTTGTATCCACAGTAGAATAGGAGGGTCATTTAAATATGCCTCCCAGCTCTCCCCATAGGTCTTTCCGAAGGATTTCATACTGCAGTCAGTATCAAGAGGTAAATTCTCTAGGTATTATCATTTTGACTAAGGACTCCATTAGTTTGTCCTCTTGATGTGCTGAAGAGCTGTTTTAGTTGTGAACTGAATGAAACCTTTCCAACGAAAAGACCATTGACTCATTTGAACTGAAGATGATTTGGACTGTACACACACTGAACAAATCTATTCTGAGTTTTTTTCAAACTTCTGTTTGTTGTTCTTTGTGTGTCACTAAAGATTGTAACGAAACGAGTGCCGTGATTTTGGCGAGTACATATTCAATGCCATTTGCAGAAAATTAAATGGGAGCTTTCACAGTTGTAAATCTGAGCATACTTTGTAATAATGAGTCAATATGATGTCACATGTACTCAAACAAATAAAAAAAATTAAAAATTCTGGGCCAAGTATTTAAGTTTTCCACTGTGACAAAAGCAGACAGGACTGATGAACATTGACACCGGTTGAATTTGGAGGCTTATTCACATTGTTTATATTAAGTTTAAGGCTCAGTAGACTAAATTAAACAGCCTGGTTGCAACTGGTCTGTGTAACTGCATGACTAAGAAGATTAAAGAAGATTTACCGACCCAGCAGTCGTCAGCAGCGCAGTTCATGCACGGCTGGTGCATAGCAACAGGTCGGCGAGCCTCGTGCGCCACATTAATATTCACCACAGACTGAGGAGACAAGCCCATTGAACAGAAATGGGAGATGCTGTTTGCTCACGACCACATATGAGTTTCCACTTTATAGATGACCTGCTGGAAAAGGTCAGTGTCCAGTTCTGTCTGAGCATTTTGCAATAGTTAGTATGGGATTTTTTTTTTTTTGTGCATGATCTTGTCATCTCAGTTTCTGCCTATACAGGCCGCTTCAGGTTATCTACTTTAATCACGTTCAGTTAACTTTTTCCCTTTTTGTCATTTTAATCAAAACCACATCACTAAAAGTATGTAATGTTCCTAAATAAATTCAAATAAATTTGCTGCTTCCTGGAATCAGGTAAGTAAACAAGTTAGTTTATTTACTGTCTGAACAGAACTTCAAAATGTGAGAGGGCCATGCTCCAATATGACAGCGTACATCTGGACAGTGTTTGCCTGGACATTCAGGGGAATACTGTGCACCTGCAGGTTTCTATGGGTGAGTTCATGCTTTGTTGGACGTGTATTTGCTTCGGCATTCAAATGCATTATAACAACAAATTTGACAGGGGTTTTTTGACACGCACTGTGGTCATAACAACTTTTCATTTGCATTGCAGATTTGCCCATACAATGCAATCAAATTTTTACCAAGGGAAAAACACATTAGCGAAGACGAAAGCAGACAGGTGAAACGACTTGTTGGTAAGGATATGAAAAATCAAATGGCTCCCACTGAAATATGACTCCATGACTAGGAGATGTTTTTAGTTTTAGGTGTATTTTAGTCTGTGAAATCTTCCACTTTATTTGATCCTATTTCGTTGTCTCTTGAAAAAAACTCACAACCTGGAACCAAATTTGTTTGGACAGTCTTTAAGGATCCATTGCAAACTCTGGACAAGCTCAAATAACTTTCCTGATTTCTGATGTAAAAGGTAAACGATCGAGTGGATTTCTTTAGCTATGAAAAATATCAATATGTCTGCTCATACTGAAAATCAAAAATGCCAACTTAATGAAAAAGGTAATATATGAGGCAAAATCAGAGTTTGCACTGTTAACTGAGAGAAAATATCCATTGTCACTCATTAGAACTGTTTGGCAAGTCTTCTTGTATGTCTTAAAGTAGTAATAAGGATTTTGTCTTCAGGTTTCTTGAATGACTCCCTGACGCTTCTACTTTGGATGTTGACTGCCATTTGATCCTATCTCTGACATAATGATCTCTTCATGACCTGTTGCACCTGGGCTTCAGTCTACTATTAGCTGAGGTTTTAAATGCTGAGCTTGACAACATTTTAGCTAATATCTCTTAGAAAATTGCCTTCTGAATGCAAAAATACTTATATTTGTTAAATAGTCTTTCTTTTTTTTAGATGTCATGGAATAATGTAGTTTTCTGTGCAATGTGGTGGTAGTTTCAAAGTGTATAAACATGCAATTAGACTTTTTTTGAACAGGGCAAGTGGATTTTTTACCACGGGAATGACTCAGGGGTCAGTCTGTAGTGTCCCAGCAAACAGGATACGTTGTTCTTTTTTGTAATTAGAAAAAAAAGAAGCTAAATATGAAGAGGAGTGGCTGAAAGCTCCAAAGGCTAATCTACCTCACAACTTATTTCCTAGAGGCCTGACATAGTGTTTTCAATTGTCATTTGCCAGGTTCAGAAAATAAAGCGACTGCAGCCATTCCAGGCAGCCCCGATCGTGTGAATGCGCTTCACAAAAGACTGAATAAAACTGAGAAAGAAATCATTTCAATAAAGACCAGGATAGCCTGTGAGAGAGCATCATGGGAGAGGAGGTTTGCAGAGCTGCAAAGACAACAGGAAGCATTACGTCAGGTGTGCCTGTGAAAGTGTGCGTGATGCTGTCGGGGCATTATGACTTTGTTAATTAACTGTTGCTTCCCTTTTGTCAGCTAATCCCTGGGGCTGGCATGTTGGTCGGTGCGTGTGCTGACCAGGGAGAGTCAGGAGTGGACATTGGAGTTTTATCTGATGATCTTTCAAGTAAATGTAAGAAACATTTGACGATGAAAACAATGTCAAGTTGGGGTTTTAATGCAGATATGATAACGTGCTGCTATTCTCTAATGAACAGGTAGTCTTAACCAGCACAGAAAGTCTGTAGGGTCTACGAGAAGCGACAGCTATGCATGCAGCTTGTCAGGCAGCCAGATATCCTCATCTTCAGCACCTAGTTCGAGAGCATCCTCCTCTTTATCTTCAGCCTCCAGGTACAGTTGGAAAGGGCATAAATTAGCATGGACTTAAAAGAGAAGCTTTAAAACTCTGTCCAAAGCATGGACAATGTCTCAAAAATGCAACAAAAGATCTCCAGTTTTCTGAACAGTACATTATCTGAAAAGTATGATGTAAGATTACGCCAATACTGGATGATATATTTTCTAAATATATGTGTTGCCAGGTCTGGTGCCAAGCTAATTGAAGATGACAGATGTGTGCAATTAAAGCTTTATGAATTTGACCAAGGACACCTCAATTCATGTTTTTCCTCTCTTTTTAAAGTATGCGATCGTGGAAAAGTTCACAAGGACCACATCGAGTTTTTGTTCCCCACTCTGCCATGGACTTGCAGTTAGGCCACCGGGTCAGGATCATGCTGCCATCTGGCAGGATAAGCACTGGAACTGTTCGTTTCTTGGGCCACCTGCAGGGGGAGACAGATCTCCACCTTGGCATTGAGCTGCAGACTCCTGACACATCACTGTGTGACGGCAGTCACAAGGGACAGAGCTACTTTGAATGGTAACTGATCTCCCTTTTCCAAGAAAACCAGAAGTCATTACATAGAATAAATAATGCCTCTCAGGCTGAGTCACCTGTTTGCTGGAGTGTGTTGTGATTCTGTGGTACCATACAACAGATTTTACTTTTGTACGTTCATGTCTTTTGTTGCTTATGTGGTTGACTTAACTTCTCATTTTTTGTGAAGTAAAGCAAATTTGCTGAGCAGGTCAGGTCAAGGACAGCTGTTTTGATTCCAGCAACCCAACATGCATGCTGGATTTGTGTTTTTGTCAGATTCAGGGATAATGTAACATGCCAAAAGCAAAACAGCAGCCGAGCACACCTTGTACCCCTCTTTGTTACTGAGCTGAATATGCAAATTTCTGACCTGCTAAGCAAGATCATATTACAGCATGAAGGAGGTGAGGCATGGGCTTGCCAGGCTTAACTGGAAATGCAACTTAAAACTTGTCTTTTCTTCGAAATATGCAAATCAGCTGCTTCAAACCCACGCCCCAGTCCACATTTCAAAGTGTAAATCTCTGCACATTTGAACATCATGTGTATGTCTTGAAATTGTGTTTTGACGCTTAACCCTTTACATATCCAATTTTCTGTCTTTATAGCAAACCTGGATATGGTGCTTTTGTGCCATTCCACAAACTACTGATGGCCTGGGAATAGCAGAAGCACCAGTATCAGACAGAGATGCCCTCTGACTTGTGGATCAACAAACTGCTGAACAGGAGTTCTCATCATGGATAACTTGTAGTACAGTCAATTTTTGTATCAAAATACAAACTAAGACAGGTTGCGTATTCATAAAAAGTGTGACACATGACACATTGCTCAAAATGAAATAAAAAAAGCCACTCCAATAAGTTGTTCTGAGGTGTTTGTCAAGCTTGAAAGAACAATGTTGTAAAAGCATAAGATGTTTTTTTCTGAAAAAAGAAAAGCAAAACTGCCCACAAAACAGTAAAGACTTAAAAAGAAACATTTTCAGGTAAACACTAGACAATCCAAAAATATGAAGCAGAAGGTTGCTAATGACAATAGACTTTTAATAACTAGTACTGTTAGCCTGTCTGACACATGTTTTCATCTTAAAAGAATATGCCTAAAGGGCTCTTCACCTAAAGACTATATGAGTAAGGTATACCACTTAACCTGTCAAACAGCATATCATACAGGCCACAGAACATTGGAATATTTGAAATTACCAGAGGAGGTGAACCACAAAAAGTCACACAAGCCTTATATTTCATGACCAACTTCACTGATTTCACTGAATTTAGAAACTTGATTTGTCTTTATGATTCACTTGGATGTTTTTAACTTTGTTATCATTTTGTTTTGTTTTACAATGAGAGAAAACTCAAAAGTATAGAATTGTAAAACTAAGTATCAACTTTATGTCAGACCTGCTCCTGTGAGTGTGTTTGCATGCCAGCTTCCATCCATTTGTTTCTTCCCCATGGGCATTAGACATATTTCACATTTGTTTTGAATAGTCAAAGCGCATGTAACAAAACATCAAAATGAGCTTAGGGTACTTTGAATTGCATTGCCAGATACTTGTTTAACATTTAACTTGTTTAACTACGTGAGCTGCTAGAACAGTATAACAAAAATACTTTTTGTTATCATCTGATAACAACATTTATCAGATGAATTTATGAATGCAGTATATGTAGTACTTAAAGCACTTTATTAGAATGATTCCTAAAAATGGATGCCTTACTAAATATGAGTTTGATAGATGAACTTTGTTGAAACACGATTTCAACTCCTAAGTGGCAGCTCTTATATTAGGTATTAAATAAATGTAGCTTAACATATAGCATGTATAAAATTAAATGAAGACACACATCTTAATAAGAAGTCAGGACTCTATATCCAATCATTCGAACATCAAATTATTTTGACATATGGTTGTAAGGACTTTTGAAAAACAAATATTTGCTGTGTTGACATGATGAAAAAGATGTGTGAAAAAATATGATTAGATTAGCATTGTCGTCAGAAGGAGCATTTGGTAAAAAAATCAAAATGATGATTGAATGAAACAGAAGAGTGGATGGCTAACAAATAATCTTTCTTTATCAACTCATCCCTATTCTTTACCAGTATAATCTATGTCAGGGTCACAGGAGGTGCTTGAGCTTATCCCTGCTGTTAATGGGTAAGAGGAGAGATTTAACCTGCAGGGGTTGCCAGTCCATCTGAGAGCCACTAAGAGACAAACAGATCATAAGAAAAACATGCACGGCCACTCCTAGGATTACTTATGAGACTTTAGGTTTTGAATGGTGGGAGGAAGCTCCACTAAAAAACATGCTTTCGGTTCTCTTTATTCAAACAAAGGACACACATGCACATGTGGCAAACTTCCCTAGAAGTCAAAATGTTTTTTTTATTTGCCTGGGCTTGCAACACTAGTTGCAATGCTTGTTGTGAAATGGAGAGTAAGCTTAGCTGGAATTTTGTGAGATGTGAGAATAGCTAAGTACCAGCTCTGCTTCTTAGACTTGTGAACAGTTTGTAGTCGAGCTGAAGAACAGTCTCCCTAGCCATGCAGCTATCTCTGACATATTTCATGAGACACAGTAATCTTTAGCTTTCTATGGGAACTTTATCTCAGCCATGAATTACACTGAATTGACAAGAGAAAGCACGTCTGTATGTTTTCCGAACAACATTCCACATTTTTATTTTCGATTAAAATTATACAGTAATTTACATTCATATCACTCTGATGCATTAATGATTTCATAAGCCTATATTTTTGAAAGAGCAGCTCTTTGGAGCGTTTACAGGGAAATGAAGATGAATAATAAATTCAGCTAAGGCCAAAGTCATTGTATTATTTCCTCAGTTTATTTAATAGGTCCTCTTTTATTGAAGGCAACTACATTGACTGTTTCATCACAATACATTTCAGCATTATGCACATACACACTTAATAGTTAATACTGAACAGGAAGCTGTTCATAAAGAACTACCACAAAAGTAAAAAATACTCCAGGAAGAATTCCTTAATGCATGAGAACCTCCATAGATCAATACAACCACTTATTATAATACAGGGATCTGCAAAACCTGCATTGTGCTATTCATTTTGGTGTTACTTTGAGGTTTTTACAGACCAGCCAAAACATCAGGACAACGAGTTTGAAGTGTCCTCAGGTACAATCTAAAGGTATCTGATGCCATTTGTAGTAGTAAGCAGTGTTTGCTCACTTTCTGCCTGTTTTTCTTGGTGGCATTATTAGGTCCCACTCCCCCCATTTGGCCATAATGTTGTGGCTGATCAGTGGAGAAAACATAAAATTTGATGCAATATGCATCAACAGTCAAGACTCTAGGAACTCTGTTATAACCATTTTTGGTCTAGAGGCACTTTTTATCCATGACTTGGATGAGAGGATCACATTTTATGACAACGTCATAAAGAAATAGGCAAGAACAGACTGGCTAAAACATTAATAAATAAGATCTCTGAAACAAAAACGTACAACAGCATATTTTTCATTGATTTTGAGCTAATTTACAGATTGCTGCTATAAAATCATCTCATGATATTCTTATAGAAAAAATCTGAGGCTATCATCACTCAGAAAATTCCTCTGCAGACCTTCAGGTTGAGTATCTCTGCAGCCAGTTTTTCTGCATCCGTCAGATGTGGAAACATCTCCATGACAGTATCCACCTGGTGTGGGTTGAAGATGGCCTGTAGTTTCTTGCGCAGTTCTGACCTTTGTGGGTCTGAAGCTACCGAGGGTGGATGCTGATGACCCCAGGTTTGGTAGGGCTGTTCCTTGTAGCAGCAAGAGCTATTAGAATGTGAGCTTTGGACCAAAGGGGAGAAGCCTCTGGCTGTCATTGCTTGGGGAAACCCCTGATAGGGATCTGACCAGTAGTTCTGCTGAAGATGGGGGGCTCCATTGTAGAGCAATTGATTAGGGAGGCTGTGTGGGAGGGGTACATTGTGTCCGAGTATGTGTGGAGGGTAAGCGTCATAGGCAGGTTGACCCTTGGGCTTGCTGTTTCCGTGATGGTGCTGGTGAACATGGGAACAGCACCTGCAGGGCTGGTTGGTGGTATTTATATCTAAATGCAGTGAGGCATGTTGGGGCCCAGTGAGGGTACTCTGGCACTGGGATCTGAGCCTTTGGGAGTTGCAGTGGGAAGAGGAAATATCAGAGTAGTGGCTATCAAAAGAGCCGAAGCCAGAATCCAGGTAATCATGTGACAAGTTAGCATAATAAGGGTTTTGCACTGAATGCAGTCCGGGCCAATCATTCTGACAAAAGCTCCCTGTTACAGCAGGTGCGTAGGAGGAACTGTTTTTAAGCTCTTCCCAGTGCTGCAGTTTATTTCTGTTTGCATGTTCATTAACTTGACCAGGAAGTGAAGGATTTTTCTGGTTTATTGGGAGTTGAGTGTCTTGAGGATGTGGACAGACGTTATGAGGAGGCTCATGATCAGGCTGAATGTGTTTTGGTGAATATCTTGCATTTTTCTCTTCTTTTACTGTAGAAATCTGGGCTTTCTCTCTCAGTTCATCAGCCAAGGACAGATAGGATTGATTTGCTCGCTCAGGATGGAAAAACTTACATTTGATGCCATAAGTGCACTTTTTATCTAAGGAGAAAGAGTACATACACAGAATTAAAAAATATATTTATACGACTGTAACTGAAAGTGTTACACTTCCTGATCTATAGATTTTTCTTATTTCTTACCGTACGGACATAGCTGTCTCTTCTGTTCTACAGGCAGAGGCTTTTTCCTAAGGAAGTTGTCAAGGGTGGGACCATGTCGACCCAGAGGGTCATCTGGGGGCATAAACCTGGACAAAAAAAAAAAGAGTTAGCACTTGAAACTGAAATGTATTCTGTGAAACCACATTAAACACAAAATAATTCCAGGAATGAAAAAAAAAGGTCCTGCTTACTTGTCATTCACAAATGAGTACATGAGGAGCCTTTCCTCAATGCATTTCTTCCACTCAGGTCTTTCCCCTTGGAGATCACGATAGGTGTCGTTGGATACGATCACGCCATCTGACTCGTGTGCAAGTTTTACAATAAAGCGGTCATCATAACAGACCACGCGCTTGCCCCCAACACGGCGAGATGGCGTGAAGACAACTATTTTCTGCTTTTCAAGTTCCAACAGAATGTGTTGATCTGAGGATACAAAAAGACACAAGTTAAAGACACAGTGTGGCAGATGAGGTAGCTGCTGCCTTTTATTAAATATTAGGCATAAATCCATGCAATGCAATTAGTACTTCATAAGACCTCAGGGATTTGTAGGAAACAAAAGTTTTCAGAAGGAACAGTATACCTTCACGGAAATTATTTTATCTTCACAAACATCCGTATCATATAACTCAATTCGTAAGGTGAGCCCATTAAACCCAATTGGCCTATAATATTTACTGATGAGGAGCAATGAACTCAGAATTGGCAATACATGAACCATGAGGAGTGCATAACTGAACAAGCAACCATGTCATGAAATGTTTATATTAATGCTCTTTGTGTTTTTTTCTGGGTGAGTGTCTCTCATTGACTTCTTGCAAAAGCTGTCTTTCAGCAAAGGACTTCACAGTGCAAACAAACTACAGCAGGTGGGGAAGAAAAAAAACACTTTTGAACTTCCTGATGGGGCTTTCCCACCAGTGGCTGTGGCCTGATTTTTACTTCCTTGTTCACAAACTGAAAATAGAACCTTTGGATTGCTCCACCAAGGCTGTGTGGTTACTTAATCATAGAGCCACAAGGTGTTAATGCAACAGCTTTACGGGGATACTCAACCTTTTATTATAAAGATTAACTATGGCAAGACATGATATCAACCTGGATTGAATAGCTAGACCCAAACATGTGATTCATCCTTTAGGGATATAAAGCGCTTTACTACTGCTATGCATAATTACACAATAATGATCCAACAACAGATAAAGCATCTCAACCATGATAATCCCCTTCTTACGCTTTTCTTTTTGAACGCAAATGTTTTGGGCTAAGTGAAGAAAACTACATTTTAAAACTATGCATTCCCTTTTGTCATAATTCTGACTCCCTTTACAGTAATAACTCCAGTTTTCACAGGAGTGAGTTACAGATATGGGATTATGCAACCAATTCAGCTACTGAGTAAGAACAGAGGGTATCATATTCGCTTGTCTATAAAAAACCAAACAAAAACAAAGTCGCCATCAGTAAGAGTACAAGAGTGCTTAAAAAATATTCATTTTTGGTTTTGATATTAGAATAAAGTCCACCTAAATGTATTCAAAAGATATTGTACAATGTAAATAAATGGATATTTCCCCCCCCTTATTATTGTCAGTAAGCTTGACAGAGCAGATGGGCATGACTCTAAATAAAAACACAGGAAATGAATTAAAATCATGTCTGTCCTGTTTGAACTACAAACAGAACTGATGAAATCCCCACGAACACTTCCTTTAACCAACTTCATGTGGATTTTGGAGTTAACACAACTGTTAGGCTACCGTGGGCCAGCTTTTTTATTTCCTGGTTCCTCACCTTTCAGGGGGGAGTCAGCTCTGGGCTGCTCTTTGCGCCAGGAAGGAACAAAGACAGTAATGGAATTATGACCTCTGTCCAGGAAGAAGTCCACCGCCAGTTGTATGCCCCGACATGAGAACACTTCCTTGTTGCCATGACTGTAAGATAAAAAGGAGGGATTGGGGAATGAGTTATGACTCAGGAAGGGTTTCAGTCCACGTATCATCCACTGTGCATGCCATTCAGACACGTGAAAGGGTGGAATTTTTTGGGCTGTCATTTGCATATTATGTTCCTGCCAAAACATGCTGATCATTTTTAAGACTCACAGGACTTCAAGAAATGAATGCCTAAGGTGTTTGTTATTTTTAGATAAAAAAGGTCAGATGAATAAAGTTATAAAAGCTGCAATAAAACATTGTGATTTAATTTGATGATTTGTGAACCAAGAAAGACAATATTACAATAAGGATTACCTCATGGCCACATTGCTGCCATCGATAATGATAGGCCTCAGTTCTGTGTCTGCAGTCTGTCGGTCCCTCGGTTGTGTGGGGATTCTAGAGGGCTTGAGAGCCAAGCTTGGAGGCAGCAGCGGGTCTTTCGGGCTCAAACTCCTCTTGTCACTTTCCAAAGGGACTGGTGCATTGCTGGTTCTGCTCCTAACAAGCTCGCCTAATACCGAGTTGGTGTCTGTGTTTAGGCCCAGCTTGCTCAGAGCAGCCTTCACCTCTGACATCGAGTAACCCAGCTTCCGAAAGGAGTCCACACGGTGCTGGAGCTCTTCGTTGTCCGGTTCAGGCAGGCCTGAAATTGAGTTCTGACTGGGAAGGACTTGGTCCATCCTCAGTGATCTGAGTTTCTTTTGGCTGGGCAGAAGAAGCTTTTTTCTTGTTTCAGAATGACTGGAAAAAAAAGAACAGAAATAATATATTCGATAAGGATTTTAGTCTGTTGTCAAGCTGGATATCTGGATTCTCTTTAAGAGTATTAAGAATAAATATATCAAATCAGAAAATTTTAAATGATTTTCTTTCTCCAATTCTTAAGATAAACTATATAATTTGAACAATAACAAAACAAATCAGTAAATACATTTTTTGAAGGCTTACAACACTGAAAAGTAGCACATTTAGCCTTAAAAAAGAAACACTTACAGTAAGAGGGCACTTTTAATTTACATTTTCCTGGCTGTGTCCAATTTTGAATGTCAGAGGATGTATATAATAATTTATTTCATGACTTTAAGAAAGAAGCAAACATTATTCCTCAAAAACCATCTTGAAGAAGCTTTTTATCCTGCCTGAATTCCTGTCAACATTATTTTGTTTTGTCAAGCAAAACAACATGGTACATAATACAAACAAAAAAAGAAGTGGTGAATCAAAAATCGATTGAGCTCCCCATATAATTTTTTCTTTCTTTTAAAATGGAAGTGCCAGTTGCCATTTAACTTCTGACAGAAGTACACAAACAGCCAAAGGTAACTATGACGTAACTCGCTGCTTTTTGGAGCGTGAATCAAACACTATGGCGTTGGAGAGCTCTTCGCTTATCCCCTGCAATTGTTGTTGTCGTTAGTCTGTCCTAAACGATGATAATTTCCGCGAGTTTTTGTCGCAACAACTCAGATTCGTGTTACAAAACACCAACTTTCAGAGGCACGCTGGGTGCGCGCCTCCACCTGAGTCAGCTGCGTCCTGGAGGCCCAGAAACAGCAGAAAAAACATCTGTCAGCGCAAAGCAGAAGCCCTCTCTTACCTTAGCGTGTCTCTTTGGCCCCACTCTGTCCATGTAAATGAATAAGTCGCTCGAAACAAGTCCGCTTAAGTTTTCCTAGTACCGTGAAAGTCTAACACCGCCCACTTGGATAAGTTTTTCCCCTGTTCTCCTCCCTCCACGCTGAGGCATGCAGAGTCATGCCAGAATGGGCATGTTAGACATATTCTGACGTTCCTTTTCCTCTAGCCGGCAGTGTTTGATAGCAGGAAGCGATATGAATGTGAAGATTTCTCTCTGCATTGCGGTTTCTTATTGATGTTGTTTCTCGGTAACTGATAAGAGGAAGTAAAATGGAATATAAGCCGGCATTTACGGTTGTGTGCGGGTGTATTTTCACAGCAAATACGGAACATAACCTGACCTACATTCATGCAACGAGTATGCTTAAAATGTTGACTGAGAATTCTTTCGATTCTGGGAAGTCACGTTTATGTGACTCGACCTTTATCTGTTCTGAAAAGGAAACAAAAAAAGTTTTAGGTTTCCTTTCGTTTATTGTCATTCAATTATTTATTAATGTTACCAATTATGTACAACAACAGCATCAACTGATTCTTTCATTTTTTCCCCAACAAATTTTCATAATCCACCCACAGGGATGTTTTTTTTCCAAAAAACACTTGGCGTCATCTAGTGGTGTAGAGGTCAAATAGCCTGAGTCAACAGATCCCCAGAGAAAACTCATACACACCAGTTAGTGAGAATGTTATTGGAAATTTCACAACTTTGTATTTGTGGCAGTTTTGCTTTTAGGCACTGACGTCAAACAGGTAGCTCACATCACCTCTTTACCTCTCTTAATTTGATTTCATTCCACTTGTACTTTTAATGATGAATCTAACATCTCCTTTAGGAAAATGGTTAAATTGAGAAGCACCCTGTTTAACATATACATTTACTCATTTATGTGAGTGGGTCTAAAGCATCTTAACTCTGATGAGCGACTGACTGACCAAGCCTCAGTTAGTAACCCTGGCAAGTTTTATTAACAGGTCACTTTTAACAGGTCGGCTTTTGTGTCATCACAAATTAATTAGGGGCACGTATAATAATGAATTCTGTATTTTGTGTTTCCATAGGATCCAAACCAGTCACCTTATCAGATGGAATACGTGAATTTATCTCTTCTGCCATATACTCCTGTACGCATGATCACTATAGTTCTATTCTTTTCATTGCACCTGCTTCCTGGAATTGCCACTTCTTTTATGTGAATTATGTGACCACTAGATGTCCCTCTTGCCGCGCGTTAGCCAACTAAAAAGTAACTGATCTCAGATTTTCAAAAGTGCTGGTCCGCAAACAGTCGTGGCTCCAGCCCAGTGCTGGTTAAATTGGGAAGATTTGTGCAGTGTGTTTGATTGTGTGTGTGTGTGTGCGCAAACAACCCTTTGTGTACAGGGTTAATGGCATGGTTGGCTTGGGCCCACACTGCGTGGAGCTGGTTAATGGCAAATACAGAGCTGAGTTCCAGAGAGTGGAGAAAGTAATCAGGGCCAGTTGTCAGGTGGTTGCCTCCTCAGAGGGCTCACACCACTGGTCCCAGGTGTCTGCGAGGCCTGATATTACGGGGCAATGAGCTGCGGCAGGAAACCACGGGTCCGAGCCCAAACACACACTCACACATATCTGATTTCAGAGGACATTACTACTCACTTACATTCTTTACCTAAACACTTACCTTCCATTTAATCCTAACCTTACACTAAATGGGTGGAAAGTACGAATAAAAGTACAAATATCGTTTTCACTTTCCTGGACTATACATGACTTTGTGGGAGAGACTCCAAGTGCATTGTGTAGAAGCAGCTGGTGCATGCCACTTGACTAAAAAAACATTTTACTGAATGCAATCTGTGAAAGTTTCATTAAAAGAATACAGCAGGCTTTGGTTGAGTACATTGTTTTGTAATTTATGGCTGGATTCCACTGGAAGGCGTTATTGGCATCCCAAAAACTATTGTTCCATAATGCTAATCTTGAACCTTGCTGAGAATCCAAGTGCCAGAACTGGATGAGCTTTGTGGAGATTTGGTGTTGTGAACATCTAACGCTGATTTCCTTAACATCTGGGTGGGAATGCATTACCCTGCTCAAAGGCATATCTTTTCCCTTCAGGCAGGTGCAGGTTGGCCAGGCTTTTTAAACCTGAGACAGTTGATCAAATATTCAGCCAGGCTCATTGTGTTGCTGAGAGCTTTTGGATGTGGTTGGGAAAGTGGTTTGCTGATAAAAAAAAAAAAAAACAGCTTTGTAGTGCCTCAGTGCTTGTCTCCCACTGCTATTCCTTTCAGTGCTTGCCCGGGTCAGCCATCTGTCAGAAAAATTAATTTTTGTATGATTTCTTTAAAAGATCCAAACTAAAGAAAGGCAGCCCTTAACTGAAGTAATCCATCTTGCACCATTGGTGTCAGAGTGATTCACGATTTCCAATTTACCAACGGTTTGAATCTAAAGTAAATCAAGCAGGGCGGCGCTACCCTTTGTGCAGCCGGACGACAAACCCTCAGTGACAAGAGCTTTCAAACGAACATATCCCCCACATTCGTCTTGATCATTTATTACCCCAGACATCGTACAACTTGTCCTAAGTAGAACAGCAAGGAAAGACCTCCTGGCATTATGTGCCCGTATCAGGAAGTACAGACGTCAACGCCGACTTGGTGGCTACGGCGTTAACAAAATTGGACAAAAGAGGAACAAAATGAAGAGGATGGAAGTTTTGAATATGTGTTTAATTAGATTTACTTTGATTAGTGGCAAGTGAATTCCCAGAGCAGCATGTGAGCAGACAGCTGTAGCGTAGCATGCACCTCATTCTGCTGTCCATGGGCACCAGCTAAAATTAGACAGGAAATACTTGGATTAGGGTGAAAATCATGCGTGCTTTCTTTTTTTCGTCTTTTGGCTTAATAAAACGTAATGATGTGAAATGCTGTCTGTATGTGTGTAGAATTTCAGTCATCCAGCGGGTTCATACAGTTAAATGTACAAAGCAGTTCACGTTGTGAACTGTTTTACCAAGCATATCAGCTAAAAATATCACAAACAATTTCATTTTATTTAATTATTTTTTGGAAGATAAAAAACATTGTAGATAGTACGAGATAGGCTGTGCAGTCTCAGAGCAAACCATGAATGAAATAAACTAATAAAATAAATAAAATGTGGTGTACTGCTGCACTTGTTTCACTTCTGTTATTTTACTAAGTCTCAAATACATGCATCCCGCCGCTGTGCACTGGAGATTTTAGGGCAAAATTGACAGCCCAGAAAGCATCCTGAATGGCAAAAGTCAGAGCACATTAGTTAAATATCCACTAAATGAATCATTGTTGAGAAAAACACCAGTACTCACTTTTAGGGCCTCAAGACATGACTTTGCTCCCGGTCTTTTTGGGACAAAAGGCAAACTATTGACTGAGCCACCCCCTCAAACCCTGGAATGATGGCTGTGGGGCTGCAGCTTGTACTGGAGACATCAAGGTGTGGACACAGTTGTGCCATTCTTTAAACATGATGCCTCCATTGCATCATGGCTCTAAGCACAGTGCATCCTCTGAGAGCAACAGACCATCATTGTCTTGTTTGGTGCCATGCCTGGTATACATGGCAACATAACCACAACATAAGTATTAGGAAGCTTAGCTGCAGGTCTGTGTCTGTTCTTTGTTTGTAGCACAGGTTTCTTGTGCTTACTTTGAACTATGACCAATGCAACATTGTGCCCCACCTGTTATGTTGCTTTTACCTTCAATTGGTGACGAAGTATGTGCCTTTATAATTAGTCATATAACATTCATGCCAAAGCAGACTCAAGGCAGTTTGTGAAACTGTTGCAAAAGGTAAACAAGACACTCTCACACTCACTGAAGTCAACTGAACACAAATTACAAAATTAATTTTTTACACACTAGATACCGCTTTTCTTTTTGACACGAGAGAAACCCTGATGCTCTGTCAAAGAACAACCTTACTATATGTAAATGATTAAACGTGGAGTGTTGTGTTTATTCGTCTAAAGGAATCACAGATCTTTTGGAGATTCTCTGGACATTAGCTTAGTAGAACATGCAACCGCTCATCTCTCTATTTAAAGTAAAGGCAGTGCAAGCAGCCATAGATCATCTAAAGCTAATTCTGTGTTTGTGCTCTTGGATCCCAGTGCAGTCCAGGCCTGTGCAGGTGTACCCTCAGCATGGAGCCTCGTTGAGGAGCACTAGCAATGCCCTGAATAATTGTTCCCGTCGGTTCAGGTCATTTACTCCTATCTGATATTCTGAAAATTAGCTGTTCTGGCCAAACAAAGGGCACTCACCAGTGATGCATGTGGCTGCACAGGCAAACAGAGGTGGATACAGTACACATGGAGACCAGCACACACAAAAGTTGCTCAAACAAAAGAAAAAACCTTTCCAATTCTCTAACAAATCATGCTCATGCAGTCAGGCAACGCTCCAAGGTATTCATTACTATTGATGTCAGAATCCACAACAAGAAGTGATGGCTGAACCTCCTGCAGTCTGTACTGTTTAAAGTCGAGCTCCTCTCCCTCAGCTGTTGCTCTCTGTCTTCACTTAGGAGGGGAGACTGTGATGATTAATGCACTCTCTGCTGCGATCTCGGGGGGGAGAAAAAAAAAAACACTCTGAAAAACAGGAGTTTCTGCTGAAGTGCTTCACTCATATTGCAGCGGTTCAAAATCTTTACAGTGGAGCCATGCTGAAAAATAACCACATCAAAATTGAAAATGCTAACAGTCTCGCAGTCTGCCATGTGTGTGCTACTGTGCAGCTCGAGATGGATTAAGCCAATGTATTATTGCTCTGAGCATCGTCTGGAATGTGCTTCTGTTTTCCATTCACAGCTTTCAGCTCGAACCAATGCTTGTCAATCAAATAAGTTGTGGCCTGTAGGAACTAAACATAAGAAAACACACACTGCATCATTTTTGCTTGGTTTATCACAGTGGTGGAGAGAATATAAATAGCCTAATAGAGTTTATAGGGGTTTTATTGGGTAGATTTTTTTCTTTGTGCTGAATAAAAAAGGTAACATAGTTACATGGTGTGACAGCTACTCACTGTTCTTGCATTCACTGGATGATTACTGTGATGTTTGTTCACCTCAGGGCTCCTGTTCTTGCTGACGACGAACAGAATTGTGGTATAAGCTGTGTACTGATAACAAAAACTTGATTTGGCTTGGTGGAGGTGCTGAACGCTGGAGATAGCGTTCAG